ATCTACAGTGGCCGTCAGGTTTTCTGCCCCTCCCTTGCTTTTTCTTGTACTAAACAATAAGTATGATCCTCTATTTGTCAAAATTGGGATTCTCAAACTTCACAACAAAAAATGGTTCGCCAGCACCAGCAGCAACCACTCATTCTTCTTCTTTCTATGTCTTCCAACAGGTGCTACAGCGCCACCAAATTCAAGTTGTCGCTTCAATATAAAAACACGAAAGGCGCTCTCTAGAGCCAGTGTTTGGTTTGTCCATTATGGGCTACTGTAGAAATATGGCAGCACAACATGGCGGCCTCTGCTGGAAAGGGACCCACTCCCTATGGGCTCATTCTAAGCTAGCAAAAACACAACGATTTGTAGTTAGTGATTGATTGATAGCGATTTGATAGTTGTAGTGATTATACACAAATTAAAACATGGTTTTATTATTCCATTTCTGCTAAAAGCTCACCCAAAATCTTACACACTGCACCTTTAAACAGTAGCCTCAATTATTTAGTTTTTCTGAGATGTCTGGGCCACTGTGTTGTTTAAGGCAGTGGTCTTTATGGGGTTAACTTTAGCGAATCACAGCAAGAAAAGAAAAACACAGTAAATTTGATATTATATGTTAAATAATAAGTTTTCCGTAAAATATCCCAGACCAGCCTGATTATTTCCCTATAAGCTAAAACAAAGTGGTAAGTGGCTGTGCAAGTCTGTCAGCACAGCAGGCTGTCAATGTGCAGCTAAATTCATGGACTTGTTGGTAAAAACGTGTGATTTTTAGCTAACTATGCTAAATTGTGCATAAAAAGTACATCACTTTGTTCAGACTGACTGAACTGAGGAAGAGCAGTCAGACATCTGCAAAGCTGTTTGGTTTTCATGTGTTTGGTAGCCACCATATGAGGTTACTGACCAGCACTGTGCTAACTAGCAGTAGTCCAGTCGTCCAGGGGTGCCAAAATATGAAGAAGGCTGCTCTACTGGGTCTAGAGTCAAGACGGAGGGGGTCACAGGTAAATAAGCTGAGAACCACTGGTGCCGTGAAACCATGACACCCTTGCTCGCTAAGTAGGAACAACAGAACCACAAAGGTGAAGACAGTTATACCACCTAATCCAGCCTCCTGACCGACTGAGTACCAGGCTCTTTTATTTAGTAATTCACAGCTGGTTGGAAAGAAATACATGTAGCGCTTTGACACTGTTAAAATTAGCACATTTAGCTAAGCATTTTGCAGCTATCTGACCAATGAATTCAACCACTTTTTTCACTCTGGAAGTCCTTGTGGTGAATTCCGCTGAATTCCGTGACAAAAAGCTGGTGTGACTTGGCCTAAAGAAGGTGTTTTAAAAGTACAAACACTTAGCCATGCACTGCTAATGCCATCCAGAACTGAAGCTGAAGAACACCTTGAGAAAGAAGCAAAAAGAGGTAGAGGTAAAGACTGGAGCAGGTACCTGAATAAATCTCCCTGCTCTTCAACCTCATCAGCCACCTCTTCACACCTGCAACAACGTGAACAAGCCCGTCAAAACTCTGGGCACCCAGCGCTTTGGCCCTACCGGTCAGGCTACAGTTGACAACAGGCTAGCTGTAGCTATTAGCCCTAGCTGTAGCTGCAGCCCTGGGCTGCAGGGCAATATTCCTGCTTTTAGAGTAGAAGGTTCAAATGCAGTTGTAAAGTAAAATACATTTAATAATTTTGGGCTCATGCATGTTGACCTCCACACTTCATTAAAATATGACAGAGCACTGCAGGTTTAGTAAAATTTCAAAAAGTTTTAGTATCGCCCACTGTATTCAAACATACACCGAACAGGCATAACATTATGACCACCTCCTTGTTTCTACGCTCACTGCCCATTTTATCAGCTCCACTTACTGTATAGGTGCACTTAGTCCATCTGTTTCTCTACATACTTTGTTAGCCCCCCTTTTACCCTGTTCTTCAGGGGTTAGGACCCCTGTGGACCTTCACAGAGCAGGTACTATGTGGGTGGTGGATCATTCTCAGCACTGCAGTAACACTGACGTGGTGGTGGTGTGTTAGTGTGTGTTGTGCTGGTCTGAGTGTATCAGACACAGCAGTGCTGCTGGAGTTTTAAACACCTCATTGTTACTGCTGGACATAGAATAGTCCACCAACCAAAAATATCCAGCCAACAGCGTCCTGCGGGCAGCGTCCTGTGACCACTGATGAAGGACTAGAGGATGACCAACACAAACTGCGCAGCAGCAGATGAGCTATCGTCTCTGACTTTACATCTGACAAGGTAGGAGTGTCTAATAGAGCGGACAGTGAGTGGACAGTGTTTAAAAACTCCAGCAGCACTGCTGTGTCTGATCTACTCATACCAGCACAACACACACTAACACACCACCACCACGTCAGTGTTACTGCAGTGCTGAGAATGATCCACCACCCAAATAGTACCTGCTCTGTGAGGGTCCATGGGGGTCCTGACCACTGAAGAACATGGTAAAAGGGGGCTAACAAAGTATGCAGAGAAACAGATGGACTACAGTCTGTAACTGTAGAGCTACAAAGTGCACCTATATAGTAAGTGGAGCTGATAAAATGGACAATAAGGGCAGAAACAAGGAGGTGGTCATAATGTTATGCCTGATTGGTGTTTCTATGAGATGAAAATCCTAAACCTCAGTTTTCTGCTTGATTTCTTAGTCTCTAAGATGTTAAAGGCCCCAATGAGGAGTAGGTGAAACAGCACCATGGTTAATAATGATACATGCTTAAGCACAGTACATGCTATATGGCACATCGTAGGCGCTGTAGGTACTGTACGCTATAGTGGGTGAGTTGATCCCAGATAGCTGACAGTTCTGGGCCAATTCTGAGTGTTGGTTGACTATTTGGATGTTGTTAAAAACCCTCTGAGGCTGCAGTGGTAATGACTGCCAGTTACAACAATTCCTTACTGGGCTTCAAAGAGCTGTCAGAACAACTGTAACCTTAGCTAGGCTAGAAACCCTTGGCATCTAGCATGACTGACAGCAAAAACAGACTACTAGCTTTCGTACAGGCTCACACATCTAAGGCAAATAATGTTAGCAAGCTAAAATGTGACACTAATGTTAAGCTAAGTTACCAATAACATAGTAGAAATAAATGCTAGCCAGTTAGCTAGCTAAGTAAGCAAGCAACAGTCATTAGCTGGAAGAATAAGCCACAGTAGCAAGTACCTAATGTCAACTAATGTAAATATGATGGCTAAAATCTGGCATTATCAAGCACACTTACTGCTAGGGGTGGGTTACATGATGGTATTTATCATTATTGTGATACATTACGCCACTTTATGCTTTTCTGAGCATACTGTGGATATCACTAGTACTTAAAGAGCACTGAGCAACTGCAAGTTTCATTAGGCCCATTTTAATTTAGCCCACATAGTATACGAAACGTTTAATAAAATCATTGTAATCATAATTTTTCATGGCACTAATGAGTTTTTTTCACACCTCAAAAACCTGTACACTGTGATGCACATCATGTATTGTGAGAATATCTATAATTATCAAGACATTATATTTTGTCATATTGCCCACCCCTACTCACTGCACAGTGAAGAGGAATTCCACCAGTTTTTATCAATTAAATCTTTAAAATGTAAACAAAATCATATACAGTGGTTGCTCCATTCTAGACAAACTTCCAAACAAAGTCAGAATTGTTCAAAGTGGTGGTGATAGGAACCAGACGTCAGAAAAATTTAAAAAGACCCTCACTGGAATGTTATTACATGAAACGGTTATGAGTACACAGTCTGATGTCTGAGATGTTGTTTTGCAGTAGTTCTGAAATAAGTTTTATCACAAATACATGTGATAAAAAATTATCACATATATATGTATATATATATATATGGCAGAGGGATACAGTCAGGGTGTTGAAGGCAAAGCAATCCCAAAAAAAAGCATATTTCTCAGATTTTTATTTTACCATGATCAACATTACATATAAAACTTTGAAGACACCTATATGTGTACATTTTACATAGTAAACAAAATGTCGTAGATATTGTGACCCCTGGTTCCTATCATCACCACTCATAGCTGGTAAGTTTTTCTACAACTAACCCTTTCACACCAAACCACTCTGAATGAATTTGTTTACATCTCAATGATTAAATTATGGAATTCAAAAAAACACCAGAATTCCCACTGATAAGCAATCAAAATGTCACACGATGAAGTACCAGAACTTAATTGGTGCTGCTCTTTAACTTTTTAAAGGTGCAGTGTGTAAGGTTGAGTGGCATCTAGTGGTGAAGTTGCAGACTGCAACCAACTGAAGACCCTCCCTCACCCCTTCTTTTCTGAGCATGTAGTAGAACCAACGGTGGTCATCAAGTTTTTGCCATTAAATGTCCCAATTTAGTTTTGCTTCATTATGTTTTTGTTTCTTTGATGGTGAGGATTCACCATCCCTTGCTTTTTTATGCTAAATAGTGAGTTACCAAACTTCTCACAACAAAATGGTGAGCCAGCACCGGCAACCTGCTCCCTAGTCAGGTATGAAGGGCTCATTCTGAGCTAACAAAAACACAAAAGTTTGTAGTTAGGAGTGATTATACACTAAAGAAAATGGTTTTGTATACTATACTCTATTCCTGTTAATAGATCCCCCTAAATCTTACACACTGCACCTTTAAAATGAACCGCAGAAGCAAAATGTGTGCGGTTTGACTGTTAAAGCATTACGACTGCCACTGAAGAATGTGACATCTCAGTTATAGACTGCTCAGTTTTAAACTGAAACAAACACGTTGTACTTCATGTACCATCTTGTCTCTGCCTGTCTTCCCCTGAGTGACGTTCTGCGAGCCTCGTTCTCCTGAAAAAGCCGGGTCAAGCGCCTTCCTTGTGTCAACATGCCGCTGTGTGAGTGGCGTTTTGAGAGCAGCTGCCAGTGCAGTGGCCTTTGGCTCTCTCTCCACCTGATCACACAGGTGTGTGTGTGTGTGTGAGAAACAGACAGCTGTGTTTACCTGTGTTCCTATCTGGTAGGATGCAGCAATGCTTCTGCAGTATGCCCGGCAACACCTGTTGGAGGGGAGGGGGAAGAGAGAGAGAGAGAAAGAGAGAGAAAGAACATGAATAAAGCTAGCATGATTGCAGTCTAAATGACCACTAATTAGAGGGTAAAAAAAAGTATGGTGGGTTTTTTTTTCAGTTTCTGTGAGGTATTTTTCTATAGCGTTTTCAGTTTAGGCCTCCGCGTGTGAAATTGTGCGGATGCGTGGGTGAAGCGCTTAATAGCAAAAGTGCCTTTATGTGGATTCCAGTGGGGATTTGAGCCAAAGGGGCAGATTACAACCCTGATCTGCAGCTGCGCCTTCGAATGGAAGCTCCGCACACATGGCAGTGCCAGTCTGCAGCTTAGAGACCACACTTTAAAGAGGAATTCGATTGATTTTCCAAAATTTTGCCTGATTAAGAGTGGCTCAGTGTGAAATGGTCCGCTCTGTTCACAGTGGCGGTGATAGGAACCAGACGTCTACAGTATTTAATGGCTCTATAAGCTCGCTCACAGATGATGGTAATGAATATGCTACCTGATGCCAGAGACATTGTTTTAAAATTCAGGTTTTGGCTTTAAACATATGTTTTGAAATCCATTCATGGTGGGAGGATAAAAGCAGGGTGTTATAAGGTAAAATAGTCCCCAAAGAAAACTTATTTTTTCAGGTTTTACTATTTTACCATCATCAGCATTACATGAAAAAACTCAGAGGACACATGTAGGTTCACTGGTGGTTTAGATAAATAAAATGGCTTTATTTGCAACACATACATCACGACCCCTGGTTCCTATCACCACCATTATAAGTATTCTAAGCCAGCAAGTTTCTCTAGAACGGAGCATTACACATCAAACCTCTCTGAATGATTTTGTTGATGTCTCAATCATTTAAATTATGCAGAAATTTTGAAAAATTGATGGAACTGCCCTTTAAGAGTGGTCAGTGTGGAGTTAAATGAGAGCAAGTCTGTCTGTGAAGCCAAGGACGATGGGCCTGACCAATGAAGATGCTGTCACTGATGCTGATGTAATGCTGATGATCATAAAATATGAATCAGAAAAAAACATGATTTTGGGTTAAATGTCAGAATCTCTCAGAGATCATTTATAACCATTTCATGTAATAACTTTCCACGATGTAGCATTTAGAGGCATTAGACTCTCCTGACGTCTGGTTCCTATTACCACCACTGTGAACAATTCTGACTTAGTAAGTTTCTCTACAATGGAGCATTTTACACTACACCACTCTGAATGACTTTATTCACACTCATACAGATTTAATTATGCTCATATTTTGTAAAATTGGTGGAGTTTCCCTTCATTGATAAAGGACAAATGGTCACAGGTGAGAGAGAGAGAGAGAGATAGAGAGAGAGTGTAAAGATGGAGGTGAGAGATAAAGGAGGGGAAGATTGAGGAGAGGAAGGGGGATGAAGAGAAGAGAGAGGGGGAGACAGCAGAGAGAAAAAGAGAAAAGAGAAAGAAAGAAAAAAGAGAAGGGGAGAGAAAAAGACAGAGAGGAAGAGAAGGGCAAAAAATAGTGAGAGAAACACAAAAAGAAAAAAGTGAAAAGGAGAAAGAGAGAATGTGTGTAAAGATGGGGTGAGAGATAGAGAGAGAGACAGAGAGAGAAGAGAGTGAGATGAAGAGTGAAAGAAAGAGTAAGACAAAGAAAGAGAGGGGGAGAGAGCAGAGAGAGAAAAAAGAAATGGAGAGAAGAGAAGAACAAAAAAGAGAAAAAACAGGGAGAGAAAAAGAGAGAGAGAAGGACAAAAGAGTGAGAGAAACAGACAAAAAGAAAAAGAAAGAGTGAAAAAGAGAGTAAGACAAGGCGAAAGAGAGATACTGGGAAGAGAGTGTGTAAAGATGGGGGTGAGAGATAAAAAGAGAGAGGAGAGAGAGTGAGATGAAGAGTGAAAGACAGTAAGACAATAAGAAAGGGAATGAGAGAGAAATAGAGAGAAGACAGAAAAGAGAAAAAACAGAAAAAAGAGGAGAGAAAGAAAAAATAAAGAGAAGGTGGAGAGAGAGAGAAAGAGGAAGAAAAGGACAAAAGGAGAGTGAAAGAAACAGATTAAAAGACAGAAGAAGAAAAGAGAACAGAGAGAGAAAAGACATCGAGAGAGAGCAGAGAGAGAGACGCTGAAAGACTGAAAGAAACAGTAACAGAGAGGAGAGAGAATGAAGAGAGAGAGGGACGCTAGGTAAAAGCGAGGGATGAGAGAGACGAGACAGGACGAGAGTGTGTGTGTGTAAATCCTTCATTCAGTCCAGATCTGGCACATCAGCCTCATCCTGAGGGGCTGCTGGAATTTGGTATAAACACCCCGCAGCGACGGCTCGTTGTTTTTAGCTCATCAGAAGGAGCTTACGGAGAAAAAGCCATTTATAGCCTTCTGCTAAACTCAGATTCTCTCATCTCCCGAAAGAAAGAGACACGAAACAGCCGCTAAACGGGCCACGGCTGGAATTAGACACACAGCAGGCGAAACACAGCAGGCCTTTCCTCCTTACAGCGACAGTGTGGCCAAAAATCACATCTACACAGTCCTCCTTTGGGGTCATTTGGGGTCTGCAGTTTGCTACCTTAGTTTTGCACTGTGATGTAATTAGAGCTGATCAATAGCCTCGTTTAGGGCTACTGAAATATTGTTGTCATTGTTGTCATGTGTAACCTCTACACTGCTGAAAATTATGGACAGTCTAGTGCAGGGGTCAGCAACCCAAACCACATTGGGAGCCACAAGATTTTATATCTATTTTACCATCTTGGCTGTAAATGTGTCTCAGTACGTGTTAATATGCTAGTATAGGCTAAAAATATAAACAAAAACGCAGACTAACTTTGCTCTGCTTTCAGCTTTAGCTCAGCTATAGCCGCTTTTCTCACATCTCCGGCAGGAAACTGTTACACAAAAGTAGAATCATTTCTTGTAAAATGTCTCTCAACGTTCGTCTTTTTACAAGGCTGAAGTCGCTTCTTATTCACCAGCTTCAATTTCCTGTTCCACCTTAAATGGTGCCTGCGGTGTCAGAATGTAACTGCTGCACCTTTTAAGGTGGAACTGGAGAATTCAAACGAGAAGCTGACCTCATTTTCACAGCTTTTTAGTGTTTGACAGTTTCTCGTTGCAGATTAAACGTATCAGGAAACCAGCTGGAGTGTTTATAAATGCAAATAAGTCCATTCGTCTTCAAATGATCGATGTTTGTTTTAAATCTTTCTCTTTGCCGTTTCGTTAGCTACTAGCTAGGTGAGATTATTGTCTGCGTTGCTATGTTGACCAGCAGTCTGCGCACCAACCTTCAGGGTTAAAGGGTGAATTAGCAGTTCTACATTAACTCCAGCGTTTAAGACCATTTATTGTTTAAACTGTGTGGAACGATCAGCAGAGCTTTATTTTACTGCAAAGGAGGATTATTTTATTTTTACCTACAAATCTAACTCTGCTGTGGAGCCGCAACAGGACAGTAAAAGAGCTGCATGTTGCCGACCCCTTGTCTAGTGGACAGTAGGAGTGTAGCGTCCTCCCTGGCCTATCGTGCTGAGTTCAACTTCACTAGCTGATAAAATGAAGCAAACACTACAATGTGCAGCCTTCCAGCCTCACCATCCACACTTAAAAAGATGGTTTGTCAATTCTTTAGTAAAGAATATGGTTCTATATAGAACCACGAACACTCAAAGAAGCCTTTGCATGATTATGAAGGGTTAAAGTGTTCTTTAGATTGATGGAGAGTGTTTTTTATTATGGTTCTACATAGAACCTTTTTAAAAAGAGTGCTATATAGCACCAAAAAGGGTTCTTCTGTTGTTACAGGCTTGACATCGTAACCCATTCTCTATCAATCTAAAGAACCCTTTATCAATGCTAAGAACCCTTTAATTATGCAAATACAGAACCTTTTTCTTCACTAAAGAACCCCTGAAGAACCATCTTTTTTAAGTGTATGCCTCATATACCCTGACCTACTGCGACTGACCAGTTGGATTCTCACCTGCTGACCATAGTCCTTTCATCAGAGCGCACCTGTCAGTCTAGGGGAAGAATAAATGGCATAACCACAAGAGGATGGGGCAGTTCAGCTTCCAAGAGCCGCTGACCTTTAGAGTGACCACTGCTTTAAAAAAAATAATAATTCACAAAGGTGTGAAGTGGCTTATGGTGAAACACTGAATATTTGCCTCTCTGTTACTGTGAAGTACAAACCATAATAAAACGTCTCGGCACAGCGAACGCTTTGGATTTGGACTTATAAGAGCATATCAGACTGAAACTGTTCTTCTGGACCAACATGAAGAATCTGAACAGCCAGTGATTTTCTATTTACACTCTCACTGTTTGTTTTTATTGTGCTCCTAAGCCAAAACGCTTGGGAGGCAGGTAATACATAATCGCCTGATCCCAATTATGAGTTGATTGCAATCGTTTAATATGATCACAAGTGCCACAGTTTTCAGCTTTCACTTTTAGGGGGCAGCAGTGAGTGATGTTTGTTTATTTGAGCACGAGCTCTGTCCGTCTTCATTTGGAAGCTACTGAGTATCAATAGCTGGAAAGCAAATGGAGGACATTAACTGTCCTTATTTACGACATATTTAGAACTTAAAGGGAAAAGGATTTGTCCATTTTGAGAAAATATTGTTTTTACTTGCTGTGAAGCCGTTTTGAACTGATGCAGGAGCTTCAAACATTCCAAGCAGAAATCATTACATTTATATGTATGACAGTAATGTAGGCATATTACATGAAATGGAAATAAAAAAAAAAATTACGGACTGAAAAAGTAAGTTTAAGAATAAACTAAACTAAAGTTGGCTTGATGAACTATGAAAGTCTTGTTGTGTTATCCCAGGTTGTTGCTAAGGTGTTGCTAGGCCTTTGTTATGTTATCCCAGGTTGTTGCTAAGATGTTGCTAGGCCTTTGTATGTTATCCCAAGTTGTTGCTAAGGTGTTGCTAGGCCTTTGTATGTTATCCCAGGTTGTTGCTAAGGTGTTGCTATGCCTTTGTTAT